AATTGTAGTGGATAAAATGGTCAATTTTTCCGTGCAGTACTGTACGGATTATACGCTCCTCACCGGTTAAGAGTTTGGCCGAGAGTTGTCTCCTTCCTTTTCTGGCCTAGTGCTGTTCTTTTCTACTTTGCGCCGGTCAAACTGAAGGTCACATCGCTACAGAAACTAAACGAAGTATAGTTTCCTCCATTTCAACTGGCTAATGAGATTTAAGTGTAAACTAACATTTTATAAATCCTCATGAACTTCATCAAGGGTATGGAGATTAGGTCAAGAATTATGTTAAGATGATCAGGCTAGGAGACTAATGCTTTTTAATGTGATATGGCGAGGAGTATAGTGTTTTATGAGGTGGAAATATGGGAATGAGAGGAAAAAAAGCAGATAGAGGTTTTATATAAATGATATATCAAGCAGGTACTGCAATTAGAGTGGAGTATTCCAGATTATATAATAAGAAAGGAGACTAAATGTGGGAAGATGTGATAAAAAGGAAAGTAAAATATGAGGAGATGCTGGAGAGGCCAGAGGAAGAGGATATCAGGAAGGAAATATGGAGGAAAAAGGTATTACAAATTGGGACGAAAAACAAATCTGATAGAGAGAGGGAGGGGAATTTGAAGAGATTAAAACTCAATCAGGAGCAGGTGAGAGAGTGATTGAGGAATTGGATAAATGTAGGGGAATTGAAGAGGAACAGTTACAATTAAATTATTAGGGGATAAATGTTAGGAAAAATAGAGTTAAAGATTTTATGGAGGGACAGGCAAGGGAATTGGGTACCAAAGTATTTAGAATGAGGGAATGATATAAGCATTATACCAAGATTTAGGACAGGAAAGAATTTGTAAAAGGAAGAAAACAGACGCTACTGAGTATGAGTCAAGGAGGTAGAATGTCTACAACATGTGTTAGGATGATATTTGGTAAAAAAAACACTTTTTGAAAACTTTCACTTAATTTTTATTAAATTCTTAACAAGTTTCGACCTACAAGGCCATCTTCAGAAGAAGGATTAATGATGATTAATCCTTCTTTTGAAATAAAAATTAAGTGAAAGTTTTCAAAAAGTGTTTTTTTTACCAAATATCATTATGATCAACTTTCATATAGTAGCGGCCAACTCTATCAATTTTCTCAAGAATGTGTTAGGTGAATGTGAAAACTTTTGAACTGAAAAAATGCTATTAATTAGTGAATGGGGATGGAGTTGGGCTGAGACGACTAAAAAACTTTTAAGGAATAGGGGGTCGTTTATGTTTTTAGAATAGTGAATGAGGTGTGACAAAGGAATCTAGTGGTGGAAAAGAAGAGCAGAATAGATGAAATAGGTAGATATTAATAACTGTAAGAAATGTAGCAAACATTTCTTTATGTTTTGATAAATCCAACAATATGTGTACCTAATCAATACAATTTTATAAATTTTGTTTACAGTTTTGTCTACTCTATGGATATAAATTTTATCTTATTCAACAAAATGACCAGTAAAACGTGCCTTACTCTCTTTTGTTAACTTTCTATTAATTTTACGGTATCTAGCTAAGCTCCTAATCAAGTTTTTAACAGTTTTCTTTGCAAGAGCCCTCGAGCCAACGAACATCAAAAATGCAAAAGCAATTCACATATCAAAAATAATTTCTGCTTACTCTGAATACATTCTGAACTTATAACACAAATAAGAACTCCACTGACTGTAATATACCTATTAAACAGGTAAGGGGTGCATTGAACTTGATCACCAAATTGCGAGAGTGAAACAAATTTTCTAACACACAATGTAACATTTATAGAAGTAGCTTGAGATTTTGTAATCAATTAATTATTTCGGACTAACTATATGAAATTCTAAAACATGTAGTAACCATACTTAAAAAGAGAGTTGCGGATAGGAGCAAAAAATTTGGAACAATTAGCTTAACTTCCCATACGTCAAAAATCTTAACTAGAATTGTACAGAGAAGGATGGAAAAAAGGGCGGAATAACTATTAGGGGAAGACGATAAAAAACGAAAGAGTGCGTATATAGGATTTGTAGATTTATAGAAAAAGCTTTTGACAATGTTAAATAGGACAAAATGTAAATATACTTAAAAATGTAGGAATGAGTTACAAAGATTGAAGACATAGTTTGTATAAAAAACAACATGGTTATAGAGTTAGGACTGCAACGTAGAGAAGTAAATATATAAAGGGAGTCAGGCGGGGATGCACACTGTCACCGCTACTTTTTAAGCTATACATCGAAGACGCGATCAACATCATTAAAGACAGTACAACTGTAGGGATAGATGTGCAAGGGCAAAAGATTAGTATGCTTAGATTTGCGGATGATACGAGGGTGGATTGATAAGTTTCCGGCCTGACCAAGAAAAACAAGGTTTTTAAAAATTTTTTTTTTTTATTTCTCAACATAATCTCCTCCAAGGCTGATACATTTCTCATAGCGGTGTTCCAGTCTATTAATGCCATCTCTATAGACTGATTCGTCAAGCTCCTCAAAATAACCATTTACAGCTTCGATTACTTCTTCATTGTCCGCAAATCTCTTACCGCCAAGCCATTTTTTGAGATTAGGGAACAGAAAATAGTCACTCGGGGCTAGGTCTGGAGAGTAAGGAGGGTGCGGCATCAATTCAAACTTTAGATCGTTGATTTTAGCCGTCGCAACGATTGACGTGTGCGCTGGTGCGTTATCGTGATGAAACAAGATTTTTTTCTTCGCCAGATGAGGTCGTTTAATTTTCACCTCGTGGCTCAAACGTTGCAATAAGTCTGCGTAGTATTGACCAGTGATAGTATTACCCTTTGCAAGGTAATCAATGTATATAATACCTCTTGCATCCCAAAAAACAGTAGCCATAACCTTGTTCGCCGAAAAAATTGTTTTTGCCTTCTTTGGTGTTGGTTCCCCTGGTCCAATCCACTGTTTAGACTGTTCTTTGGTTTCAGGAGTGTAGTGGTGGACCCACGTTTCGTCAACGGTTACGAATCGACGCAAAAATTCGCTTGGATTACGCTTATACAATGACAAATTTGCGGTAGAAATGTTTTTTCGAATCAATTTTTGGTCGACTGTTAGCAAACGCGGCACCCATCTTGCACAGAGCTTTTCCATATGCAAATGTTGGTGCAAAATATGTTGCACACGTTCATATGACATCTTACAGGTCTCAGCTATCTCACGCACTTTCAATCTGCGGTCTCCCAGCACTATTTGATGAATTTTTTCGATCATATCTGGAGTTGTGACCTCAACGGGGCGTCCTGAGCGAGGCCCATCAGAGGTGCTCACACGACCCTTTTTAAACTCGGAAACCCACTGCTTAACGGTTGAATATGACGGGGAGGATGTCCCCAGGGTTGAGTCCATCTCTTTTTTAATTTCCTTCGGCGTTAACCCCTTCAAATAAAAGTATTTGATGACAGCACGATTTTCCTGCTTTTCCATTTTTACGAAAACCACAGAGGCGTCTTGTTCAGCGTGCTGTCAAACCTACACTAGCAAGGAGATCGGGCTGAAACTATAGCTACAAGCTTGGATAGAATGTCACCTCAAGGTAGGCCTAGTGGCGTCATCTCTTGGTTAGGCCGGAAACTTATCAATCCACCCTCGTATAGCAGTATTAGCATCTAGCAAGGAGGAGTTAGAGAAATAAAACGAATGCAGTTCTGACAATGGCCGATTTTAGGTATCTAGGATGTCAGATAAGTCAGGACGGAAGGAGCAGTAGGAACAGCGCAAGGTCGAGTCGGCTTCAAAAAAAGTCAATTCTTTGCTCGCAAACGGTTAATTTAGAAATTCGAAAAAGGTTGAAGGTGATGTTTGAAGCGCGGCGCTGTATGGGTGATGTCAAATGATAAGGATATCGTAGTTGGAGAAAGTTAGAAATGAAGAGGTATTAGAAAGAATAGGAGAACAGACAACTCTATGGAAGTCAATAAAAAATAGGCGATATCGATTAGTAGGACACCTTCTCAGGTATGAAAGTCTAGTTAAAGACATATTATAGGCAGAAACGGGAGTTAGGAAGGGTAAAGGTAGACCTAGATGAGATTACTGTTCTCAAATAGTTAAGGATGTGGGATGTTCTAGTTTTAGGGAAATGCGAAGATTGGCTCAGGATAGGAAAGCGTGGAGGTGCGTGTCCAACCAGTCTTAGGACTGACGGCTGCAGAACTATTAAAGAAATTAAAGATTTATGTATTTTTGCATCGCTAGCATGATTGTTCAAAATTACCTTTGTTGAATAGTAAGCAAGATGGTGAGCTCGTTACGTTATGTTCTACAATATTTAACTGGATCATACGAAGAGTTGCGTGCACTACTTGGTAAACCCTCAGCTAGCTGTATCAAAAGATTTTCAAGGAGAAGGTTGTATGAAATCCTACAAACGGCGCGGTAAACATTTAGTAAAATGCAATACGTTCAACAAAACGTCCATTTACATAGATGGGCATCTACCTGCTGAACTAAATCCACAACGTGTAGTTCACTATACGTGTTTGGCCCGTTACCAGCAACAAGCCGATGAGATCTAGCAAGATCGCGATCTGCGTCTTGCAGTTTCGATATAATGAAGTTCTTTGTTCGAGAAGGTCGTCACTAGTTCTTTAAATCGAAACCCCATTTTGACAATTCCTTGTGTTAAAATCATCCTATCGTATCAGTATATCAGTAACATTTTGCAAGACTTAAATCTAAATTGAAAAACGAACCATATACTTTTAACTTGTTTAATTTGTTAATGAATATCACAGGGGAATGGCCGATAAGGTTCTTGTAATTGATAAAAATTAGATATAAGTTCAAGAAGATTTCGTTAATTTATTGTATTAATATTTACTAAAGTAGTGGAATACTGTAAAGCAAATTAAAAGTAATTTTTGATACGGTGAAATGACATGAATTGAGTCAACCGGCTATGTGTTGCTTATGGTTCAAAATTTCTTACCGTAAAAATAGTAGATCCTACAAATTATTTTTTCTCAGATTTTTGCAATGTTGTTTGCTTTTAGTAAATTTTGTTGAATTTTCATTGAATGATATTAAGGAATTGTATACAATTTAAACATATTTCTTACCTTAGTTAAAATATTACATGCAACTTTAAATTTTCAAAATATTCTTCAATAAAAACTAACCAACCACATTTTGTAACACACCTACCTATTGGTTAAAAAATGTACATCTACTTAACACTATCTTAATGAAACGTCAACATTACTGTAGATTACTTAAATAAGAAATGCTTATCTCTGTTTTATTATCGGAGCTATTTTTTATTGTCTTCAAATATGGCAGGAAGAATTATGCTTGTGTGGACATTGGGGCTTTACAAGAATTCTAATTCCATTCAAAACCAAAGCATAAGTGATAAGTACATTGTATTTCCAGTTTATAAAAATTTGCACGATTACACATTTTTCCTGTTCAAAATAATTAGAAAAATGTTGCAAATGAACATTTCAGAAAAATATAAAGTACAATGCAGTTTTCATCTTTTTATTATTTAAAATACATGATTTTGAGTTGTCTTGTTTATTAGCATTTCAATTTTGATACAAAAAGTAAGTACGCCTTTATTGCATTTTACTGTTATTAGAAAACATCCTTGAATTAAACTATTTCCTTTTTGTTACGTTTGAATTTGTTTTACTGCCTAATTGCTATAAATAATTAGTGTCTCCCGATATATATACTTATTTTTAGAAAATTATTTTTGCGGTAGGTATTTACGTTACAACCAGCAAATGTGAGCAATTTTAGTTGTTCCACATGTAAAAAGTTATTCAAAAATTTTAGAGTTGATTTGGAGTAATAAACAATATGTAAAATAAACACGTGAGATACATTAATTCAGATATATGTATTCTCATTTATTCAAGAGATTCTATGTCGTAACAGGATCAAAGTTCCAAACGACGTCATTTGAATGGAAACATACATTCCGTGATTTGGAGGGGATTTTTGTAAAGTTTACCTTTTTCATAGATACAACTGCAGAGAAGTGTCTAATGATACGCTCTGTATTCGGTTCAAAGTTAATTTTACTGAAATTAAATTAATCTACACTCATTTGACAGTAATTCATCATGTGTATATTATATTTCATGGAATGTATTAAATCGACGTTTTACTAACATTTAAAATTCAAAGCTCTATGTAGTATACTTCAGTAAAACAATATTTGTTTAGTTAAAACACACTCGTCAAAATTCCAAGAGAAATTTAACGCAAATTGGGTGTTTTTATTGAAATTGATTCATAAACTAGAATTTATCAAATATTAGAGTGCATTCTTTTTCTTAATTATAAAACAATTGCCTAAAACTATTACTAAAGTGAATTCATATTTCTCTATATCTACCTATGTGTTGTACTTAAAAAAAACACTTCCCTTTTCAAAAATAATTTTCTTTTTTAATGGAAGATACAAATAAGATTCGCTTGGCTGTTATATTGCCGCTACCAATTATGTTATATACGTTACTCTATGACACATTATGTCATTCGAGCTCGAGGAGTTGTGGGGAGAGGAACATGAACGGATTTATAGGTTTTGTGCTAGTGTTGGTCTCGTGACAGTGGGAATGGTGCGAATTTATTTAATTGTATTCATTTATATTGCAAGATGAATGTATTAAGAAGAAAGTGATCTTAGTAAATAACACATAAAATGCATACATTGTGGTTAACCGGAAGACTTTTGTCGCGAGCGATATTAAATGGCATTTCGAATTTATCCGCAGCAGACCCTAATATTCAAAGGAAATCGGAGCCCTACATAGTGTCTGCTGTGTGTGGTTTTTCGAAAGATAGAAAACTTCAAAGACTGATCAAAGGACAATTTGGTGATGACTCCTGGTTCACCGCTAAATACAAGACCGCTGATGTTTTAGGTCAGTTTCGTATTTTTATATACATAACCTTTAACTAAAACATTATCATCTCTTATTAATTTTGTTTTGTATGTAAATAGTTTATATTTAATTAAATTTCATTGGATATTTTACTCGGAACATTATCACGTGGCAATGAATTAATGATAAATTAGTAAGAAGGATATTTTCTTCTGTTTCATCATCATAAGGTCCTCAGTCCTAAGACTGATTGAAACTCGCACTTCCACCCTTTTTATTCTCAGCTAATCTTTCCATTTCGTAAAACTAAAACATCCCACATCCTTAACTATTTGTGTAATTTAATCTAGACCTACCCTTAATTCTAATATGTCTCTGACTAGCCCTTCATGTCTGGGAAGGTGTCCTATTAACCTTGCTTCTTTCTTTTTGACTTCCAAAGCGCCCTCTATTTTCCTACCCTTTCAAATATCTCTTCATTTATATTTCTATCAGAGCATCCTCAAAATTCACTTATGACACCACATTTGTAACTTTTTCTTTTCTTCACTCACCGTCCACGTTTTGCACCCGTACAATACTCCAGACACACGTCTCGACCCTGTGATATCCCTTATTTTATATTTGCTGCTTTCATCCTGAATTATATGACTTCCTATATACCGAAAATTACCGACTTCTATTAATTCTTCATCTCCTATCTTTGTATTCACATTTTCCCAACTTCTTTTTCCCTTGGATACCAATGTTTTTATTTTTCTTTATTTATTTTCATATTATACTTGGATACCAATGTTTTTATTTTTCTTTATTTATTTTCATATTATACTGTTTTGTATTATGAGATATCTTAGCTGACCTATTTCCACACTATTTTTCTCCTTCTGTTACCTAATCCAAAAGACTTCGTCATCGCAAGATGAGGCATATTGATTGATCTGCAATGTTACCCTTTTCACCGGTTACAAGCTTAATTTAATCATAATTATCTTATAGTTCTTTTGTGAATAACTTTCTACACTCTGTTCTGCTTTCTTACGCATTACAATTCCTACCCCCGAATTACCTTCCAGCAATCCTGTATGTATTATTCTAAAGTCTCCACTCCAGAAGTTTCCAGTTTCTGGCCAACGGACATCACTAATGTTTCCATATATCTAAGTCTAGTCTATCTATCCAAACGTTTAAATTTTTCACAATTCCACGCTCCAACTCGATTCGGGGTCTTGCCTCAAGTCTGGTTTCTCATTAAGAACCCCCCCGTTATATAGGAACCTATGGTCCGGCTCCCTAAATCATCGAAACGTCCAAGCCAATCCATCCACTTTAGTTTGTACAGGAGTTTCGTCAAGTCGGATTAGTTTCTTCTATTTATTTTATTTTTATTTTTTCAGGAGTTGCTGATGGTGTGGGTGGTTGGAGGGCCTATGGAATTGATCCAGGAGAGTTCTCCTTTCATCTAATGCGTGCTTGCGAAAATTTAGTTAAATTAGGACGTTTTAACCCCAATAACCCTTCTGAGTTACTTGCAAGAAGTTACTACGAACTTTTGCACCACAAGAAGGCCATTTTAGGTATGTACCATTTCTGATTCAATTGATACTTGATTCGATAATGCAAATAAACATCAGTATTTACCAGTAATATTTTAATGGACGTAGCCTTATATTTTAAATGATCGGGCATTATTTAAATTGCTTTTTATAAAAATCATTAAAGAAATAGGACTTGTACTTGGCAAACTATTTCATTTTACAAAGTAAAATACTTTGGTAACTTCATGCGTATTACTGTAATCTCTTTGTTCTGGTAATGGTTTGAATTTTTTAAATTTATTTTTACTTTTAAGTAAACTAGAAATTTATTGTTTGTACTATACATAACTGCATCGTTATTTCAAGTCTTCTGAATAAAAATTTCGAAGGTAAAGAACAATAATTGAGGTCATTATACAATTACGATGCAAAATGTCTTGCATGAATAACTAAAGTCATTACCTCTACTGAGAGAGGTTTGGTTTTTGATCATTAAAGTTCTAAATTGGCCTAGCAGGTGATAAAAAATGCTGTAAGCTATCCTTGTTTGTGTAATTATGTTTAACTAAAGTGCGTTTCACACAGAAGCCCTACAACTTAAAATCCGTTTTACAGTTGTTTACTTCTAATTTTAATTACGTTTCTCATTAGCAAATTTAGTCAAGTTCGTCACTCAAAACAATCGGTTTTGAATCAATATATTGTTTATTTACATTTACATCAACACTAATTTGAATTCTGGCTAATATCAAATAGCCCAGTGATTAAAAAGTTAATTATCGGAGACCTTCCTGGTTTGTTTGATCGAGACTTATTTAAGTCTTAAGTAATTTATAGAAATGTATATTGCATAATCTTGTCATGCGACCTGGCAATCGTTCAAATTTTCGTTTTCAATTCCGCTATAAATCATTGTAAACATTCACATCGTATTCCTGTTCAATATGATTTCATTTAGAACACTCTGTCGACATGTGATTGAGTCTATCTATTAGATGACTAAAAGAAAGATCATTGTAAGGTATTTATAGCTGTAACAGATTCTGTTTTTGTAAAAATCCTCACCCAGAGCCAAAATGTCAAAGTCTATAACTACAACAACAATTACGTTCAGCAGTATTGTCCATGATCAGTAATATTCCTAAGGACGTACATTTTTTAGTTAATTGGTAAAACAATTTTATCGCACGGCATTTTTTATGGTAAAATATCTTACGTACTTAAAAAAAAACTTAAAATTTATAGTGTTTATTTATTTGTTTTTTTTTTTGTAGCGAGGTCAGTACTTTTTTGTGACTTTTACATTTAAATTTATTTAAGCTGTGGTCGCATGTAAAAATGTCTTCTTGAGATATCAGACAGCTGCAGTTTTGCAATAATTTATGAGGATCTTTATATACAAGTTGAATACAAATACTTGCATTGTGATTTTATCTTTTAAATGCATGCTGAGTTTTTGCAAACAATTTGTTGCTAAGTAAATGGTTGGTTGGTTACTAAGTAAATCTTTGCTAATTTCAAAAGTTTTTTCTTTACTTTCAAATTTTTTTGATATAGGTAATCATTATGTAGGTAAACTGTTTATTATTATTTTGTTATGTGTTTAAAATTGAATATTAAAATGTTTTAAAATTTCATAAAGTATAATTAAAATGTTATTTAAACACTCCAATGGTATAAAAACTATATATTAGTTTGAATAATAAACAAATGTTTTGAAAAATAAACCTTAACCTTGAATCTGACGCACTTATTGCTAGATGTAATTTTTGACTCATTTTTGTGTGTTGCCTTATCTTAACAGTTCATTTACAATGATTATTATGAAAATCCTATAACTACTTATTGTTGACGTAGTTCACGTTAGTAAAAATAGAATTTAAATTGCATTTTTGCTTGTGGCATAATGAAATGCACTGACCATAATTAAATGTGAAAATTTCCATTTCTTTGAAGAAACTTTTAAATAGATTTTTAAGAACAAAAAAGAAATGAAATAATAAGTATTACTTAGGAGCGAAATGATGATTATTGTTAAGGTCTTTTTTGTTTCCATTATTACAGGTAGTAGCACAGCATGTGTGGTGGTATTAAATCGAGAAAATAGTACACTTTACACTGCCAATATTGGAGATAGCGGATTCATGGTAGTCCGTAAGGGTAGAGTCATCCACAAGTCAGAAGAGCAGCAACATTACTTTAATACACCTTTCCAGCTATCCCTTCCACCCCCTGGATACCGAGCTGAGGTCCTGTCAGATCAACCAGACTCCGCAATTACTAATAATTTTCCAGTCGAAGATGGTGACGTCATCCTGGTAGCCACAGACGGAGTTTTCGATAATCTTCCCCAAAATCTTCTAGTTAAAGAATTATGTAAGGTAAGAGCGCAACATTTTACTATGGATCGTAGACACATAGTTTTTTGGAACGTTCGTATTCAAGTGCCTTAAGTCGAGTCTGCGTCTCAACTATGAGTACATAATCCTAGAATATTTTTTTTTTTTTGATAATTTTCTATTTAGGTAAAAATTATATAAAATTAAACAATAATTTTGGTAATTGCCAGTTTTTAGGGAATTTGTAAATAGGTCAGATCTGATGCTTGATAATTTTGATTGATCGCCTTTTGGCGTACAAACCAATTGATCAATATCAAAACAACTTTTTGTTTATTTTGCCTTTTCTTAAGTCAATGTGTAAAGAAGAAATAGGCAGATTGACATTTGCCGTATGTTGTCTATAAAAAAATGAATATTATCTGCTATATAAATAAGCAAAATTGCTTAGTAACGATTATTAATAATAGTTTGTGTACATGTAAAGTATCGCCTGGAATTTTGCTTTTGTTAATATTTGTAAACAGTATTCTTTAAATAAGGTGTATTTGTGCCTTTTGCCAGGTGATAATAATTATAAGCCCGTTATGTTAATCAATTGTATTGAAGCCTTATCTAATTAATAACTATCCATGAAACTATCTTCTAAAGTTATAATTACCAATTGTCCACTTATTTGAACGCTTGGTTGACCATGACAGATGAATTTACTTTTACTTTTCTGTGACCTAACCTAAATAACTGTGTAATCTTTAAATTTATTTGTGCGTTTGCAAATAATATTTTAATAATTTCTGAACACCCAGTATACATAATCATTTTGGTTATTTATATTGTATTTATTGTTGAGCATATGTGCACACGCTAGGCTTCAAAGGCCTTAATGCCTCATTAAAACAATTGCGAGTGTATGAAACGACTCAGATGCAAGTGAAAGGAATTGTTATTAACATTTGTTGTGTATTTTACGAATTGCATTTTTTCTAGGCACTTCATACACACATTAGTATCAATGTACATTATTTATACACATGTACATGATGTTACACTTATGCATGCTTCACTCTTGAAACGGTTATAGAGCTTCGTGACTAAAATAGCTATGCTGACGTCTTCTTTCTAGTATACTGGGTACCCAGTTTTGAATTTATTGGATTCCGGTTTTTATTTCGTCTTAATTTGCCCGAAAGCTATTTTTATTAGGGTGTCATATCGTACCAAAATAGGTAAAGGGTACCTCACATATTACAGTACAGAAAAGGAAGTGATATTATTTAATTTGGTTTAAAAATGTTTAAATATAATTTAAATTTGCGTAAATTGTTATCGAGATATGTTAGTTTAATCTTTATTATGACGCAAGTTCTACTAACGATTAGCGAAGATCATGAATAAAGAATATAGAAACGTAAACCCATTAATATCTTGTTTATTTGATTTATGTATTGGTCTGTTAACTTTCTATTTTCTTATAAAAACGTTTGAATTGATATGGCAGACAAGAGATGTTTTATCCTGCAACGAATTATTAACAGAAGTCTGCTTTCTACAAATTGTTTATTATTGACCATTAACTTGAGCTTTTTTGTTGTGTTTGTTTTTTTACGAATCATAAATACGTATATTATGTTAATTATGCAATATTGACAAGATTGCTTATTAACAGATGTATTAATTTTGTTGTTAGATGTTGCTGCTGTTAATTTTTATATTTCTTCTATCAGAGTGAAAATATCTAGAGGTTTCATAAAAAATATCACACTATCGCTAGTAAAATGCAGTTATGTATTTATTATTTATAGCAGTACCTACTTAGCGTGAATAATGTTACTTTTTTGCTGGAGAATCTTATAGAAGTTGTTTATTACTTATAGTTACATATGTTATTTATTAATGATATTATTACCGATTAACTACTTTTTCTTATTTCTAATATCGCCTTTATTAAGCAAAAATAATGTGAGGTCATAACTGTATCGATTAAATTATTTAATAGTCTGTAACATTCTCTTTTAAGTTCTCAGAAATAAGAAATGGATTATTATAGCTTTACAAACTAAAAATATTTTTTTTGCATTGATTTTGGCACCTTTTCAAAGAATGTTTGGTTTTTCAAATGCCTAAGGAATAACAACAAAATTCTCTGTCCATTTAGTAATTGCCTTTGAAGCTTTTGATAAAATTCTTATGGAATTACCAAAAGTATGCAATACAAAATAAGAGTATAAAAAATGAAATAACTTCAATATCTCTGTCTAATTGTAACCCATGGCTCACAATGAGTCAATAAAACTGTAATGGTTTCTATTGACTTTAATAACTAATGCCTTTTTTATTAGTAAGATTCAGATAGCAGCAAAATTCCATTGAAATGAATGTTTCTAAGAGCTATGTATGCATTTCATTTTTGCGATAAGTCATTGTTAATTTAATTTTCTGTTATTTTAATTAGGTGCAAGGCGAACGCTGTGCAAGTAGATTACAAATGGTAGCGAATTCGATAGCTTGGATGGCACGAAGTCTTTCTTTTGACGAAACATTCATTTCACCATTTGCCGAAAGTGCTTTCGCCAACGGCATCAATGCCATAGGTAAGTTGACCAAGAACTAGTTACATTATTTGGAACGCGATGTCGCATTCTTTTTTTTATGGTTTTTAATCTCAATATTACACTGCCAAAATAGAATTAGATCTTTTTATAATATATACTGAATAACACTCCATGTGACACTTTCTATATCAATAACGTTGTTTGTAAAGGATATGAAACAGATATTAGCACATTACTGATAATTGCTTACGATAATAATGATTTCGTCACTTTTGAAGCGTCAATTTATTATACATATGTATTTTCCCCTTTTTCGTTTGACTCCTTCTGTGTCAATTCAAGCCTATAATTTGTGAAACTGGTGTCATCTAAATAAAATTACACTTTGTACACGAGCATTATCTTTATAAGTACCTACTATGATGTTAATCTAGACTGTGCCAGTTTTAATTTATCCATATTAACCTTTATTACTTGTTTACAAGTCTCCATACATCATAGTGTTACAAAACCGGCCAGTCCTTTTTGTTTTCAAATTATCTACATGCCTAAGTTGTAAATACATCCTACAAAACGTTGTTCTTTTAATTGAAATATTTTTTTGTATTATTTGCTTCAATTTAATTTATATCGAGTATGTAGTAGTTATAATAATGAAGAATTTTTATTGAAAATACATCTTTTTATTTTATTTATTTAGTAATATGCACTAAACTGTTAAACATTCAGCATGTAGGGAACATTCAAGTATTATGTAAGCCAGAATTTTAGTCATTTTTAACCCTCCCTCCCTCTTGTCAGCAAAAGTAATCAACGCTTTCGCCCCTCCCTCTCTATTCTTGCGTAAACATTGGTATATTTGTTTTTTAACTTAACCGTAAAATATCGTTTGAGAGCAAGTGAGTAATATCAATTATTTTAGCTAGTCCCAGAACATGCTTTTCATTTTCGAACATAGACAAGTAGAGGTACCATATTTCTTCAAAAAACTTCTTTGGGTTGGTTTCATATTTAAATATTTACTGTTAGCTGAAATACAGAAACATTGTGTATCGTCTTTTATTTTCTGACAGAACAATTAGTAATAATGTTTTTTTATTTTTTATTTCAGGTGGCAAGCCGGACGATATTACGGTAATTTTGGCGACTGTAGCGATATGATCGTAGATCAGGTCCTCTGTTAGAAAACCTCGAGTTGTAGGGTCGTTTTCTGCTCATTATGAATTACCATCCTCGCGTTCTTGACTCGCTTACAAGCGTTTTAGTTTGTTCGTGTTCGATGGTACATATGTAATAACATATCCGACCGTTAGCTGTCGCCTTTTTTCATTTTCAAGCCGAAATGCGCGACATCTCGAGACACTAGTATGAATCAACAGTAAAAGTAGTAGGTCATCCGTTATTTATTCGCACTCACTCATGAAAAAAACATGGTTGTGATATGATAGATAAAGAAGAAATAAGATACATTATGATGTAATAAAAGGAAAAATATTACGAACAAAAAAATAACGACAAAAGCCTTTTGCTTTGGTCCCGACTTACTTGTTATTATTTTTATTGCTTTTGGGCATAACGGAGGGGAATCACCGCGAAATAACGTTTCCCTGGTAACTGGTACAATGAGTCACGTTCTTATTTTTGATTGTTTAGGCAAATGTTTGCTACACATATAGTGCATTTAATAATTAAAGTGAAAATTAACGAATTTTATTTGTTCAATTATTTTTTAATGTGGTCGTTTTTCCGATAGCTTTTATATGAAATTTTAATAGTAATAAAATGAGAGAATGTGGGACACGTTGTATATTAACTTTAATCATTTATTTCAGTATTTTATTTTCTTGACTTACTACAAAATAATAACTTCTACTATGTTTATGATAATGTGCAAAATTAAAAAAATGAGCAGTCACTTTAAGAATTTTTAAAATTCAGTGAATTGCCATAATTTTATCGTTTCTTTATAATAATTTAAATAAATGTAATTAATTGGCCTCGAGAACAATATATTGTGATATCAGGATCAAGCCCTTTAATGCATTGATGCTACAAACATAACAAAAACATTGATTGATATTAATATTAAAAGAAATATTGCCAATTATAAATCATTAGTCAAGGGTTTTTTTTACTTAGCTGACGCATTAAAATTTATAAAAGCGTCGCAAATGGAGTAGGGGTAAGTGGTGTAATTAAGAACACTTAAAATTTTACTAACAAAAAGTCCACTGTAAAATGAAAACATGTAAATGCATTAAAATGAATTATTTTAAGTTAAAATATTGCTTAATCGTTTATAGTTTCTTAAAGTCCAGTAGGGTTAACAAAATTCTGCGTGGACTAAATAGAATTAATATTTATATGATATCGAAAACCTAAGAATCCGTGCATTTTCTTTTTTTTATCTTTAAGAAATATGAATTTTATTGTATATTCGTTCTCAGTTGCCCCACTTGCCCTAACTAAACGTAAATTAAAAGTGGTATTAATTGCCTATACCTTTATATTGTGATAAAATATGACTAAATGATTGATTATTCCCTCATTTAGTGGGCATAAGTATGTGAATTTAAGATTGTTGCTCAGTTTAAATTTAAAAAAGTAAGTCATTTTTGTGGGTGAATTGCTTAAAAAATATTTAATATATTTGGGATATTGACCTTTTGGTTTGTCTTTGCTACTTTTTTAATTCAGTTAGTAATTAATGTTGCCTTTTATAATTCAGTATTTGTTGTACCAATTCTCCACTCACTTATTGTGTATGTATTTTTATTTTATTTTTATTATTTTATTTAAGAAGGCTACATGAACGGTAACGGCGGGCTATAGCTAGCCTCAAAAAAAGTATATGATGCCATTAGTGTTCTGCCATTACCGATCGTCTAGCCACGGTCTTTTTTTTTGTTGTACCCTTTTAGGTATATTTTATTCGTTCGTTTTCTAAGTTAGTATTTTCTTTAGAATGTTATACCTATTACTAGACAATAAAAACAAAAACAAAACCATAATGTCTTGAAATCGTGATGTCAGAACGATTATATGAATTGTTTTAAACATAAAAAAAGCAAAAATGTTAAACTAAGAGCTTCACATTAATTACGAGATAATGATTTTATTAATTAAAAGAAGTGATTTGTGCTACCAAAAAAATCCTTTATATAAGTAGATGTGTGTGTGTGTCTGTTCGTCATGTTTTCCTCTGTGTGAGTATCATAAGTCGTTGAATTAAAATTGAGCAGACTTTATAGTTGATTAATAAAAATAATGTTACAAAACATGAGTGTTTTACTGTTAATGATTGGTGACGAAGATAATTTTTGGTCCTGCGCAGTAGGACTAGGTGCTTTGTAACTGATTTGTGTTACTTTTAAATCACTTTTGTGTATTCAAAATCAATGTCAATTATTCCAAACTTCCCCCCTCTTTTTATACTGTTTATATTACTACGTATGACTTTCTATTTAGAATATTCACCTTAAAAATATTTATATATCTTACAACTTTTGACCACCCTATACATTCTCACTGTATTTTACTTTACTAAAATTTAATTTTTCCATCATAATGATGTATTATCCTCTCTATAAAATAATAATGCTGTATTAAAGTGTTATAAAATAATTTACTTTTTTACAATTAATTACAGAGTTGCTTATATCAAATATATGACAAAATTTCTGCTATTTGATGACAACCTTTTTTATTTTTAATGAGTCGTTTTTAATTATAATTACAGTGAGTTATTGTAACGACACTTAATCTGAGATTGTCCGTGACAATGTCACGTTTTTGTATTATAGTAATCACTTTACTGTCCTATTAGTTTTATTCGTCTTGATTGTTATTTGGTCTATTACCCCACTCGAAACCACCGGGTCTTTCTTCTGGTAAAGGCATGTAATCTGGATCATCGTTTGAGTTAAACAAAGCTTTCCTGAAAATGAAAGATGATTATTAAACGACAAAAAGCATCTTGAGTGTATACAAGTGACTTACATAAACGCCGGAGTTTTTAAAATTTTAAAACCTCCTCTTTGGCTGGGAAAAACGTCTTCTATGAAATAGTAGACATGTCCTACAGCTATTCCTAATAAGTCTACATATACTGCGTTTCCTAACAATAAAGAAAACGCTAATAAAACCCAAGGCAAGTAAGGTGCCTGAAAAAGTAAGAAAATGTTTGAATTTGATAGTAATTCAGATGCTTTTACTGGTCCCCAACAAAAAAGTGAACAATTGAAATTATGTTGGGGATAAAATAAACATTAAATCATAAAACAAAATACGAAATACATTTATAACTTTTCAGTAAAGCCATAATTATGGGTTCAAGGATTACTTTGGTAAATAGATATGCACCAGAGAATGGTGGTCTTTACTATCTAGTAGTTTATATTTTACCATGGCATTAAGATAAATTGGTAAATATTCACACCTGAAAATTGAAAATTCCAAAAAAGTTCATCCTAACAAAGGTGTTTCTTCTTGACCACACATAAACCAACATTATCGTAAAAGCTTGTCCCAAAAAAAGTAAATTTATAAAGAATCCCGATATCTGAACACCAATTAAGGAAAACAAATATACTGTAATATACAGTAAATTGGTTAATAGTTTATGAAAGGATACAATCATACAAGTTGCTCCAAATAAGAACATCATAACAAAGTCCGCAGTTTTGTTTCTAAATGAACCTTCCTCTAACATTTTACAATATTTGTAGGTAAATATCATATTAAAAAAGAAATTAAACCCAAAGGCCCCAAAAAATAGGAATGTAGTTACAAGTCTCCATACCTGACCTTTTAGTATTAATGTTGGATTAAAGTATAACTGAAATGGCGACGCTAATTCTAATTGCTAAAAAATGTACATTTTAATTGGACAATTGACGTTTTTGCATAATTATGAACCTCTTACCACAGCTATAGTTGTTATCACACAGGCAGTTGTATATGCCCTCGTAACGGGGGGCATATTCAAATATTCTTGTCTAAGAGTTTGGTAGGCCATTTTAGTTGGCTTTTTGTTATACTGTTACATTAAATACATCCTAATTTTGTTGTTAAATAAAAAATTTTAAACACTTATAAGTTCAGGCCACATCATTAAATACTTTTTGACAACTGTAATCGTCATCTGTCAAAATCTACAATCAAAACATTTATCAATAAGTAAAATACGAATGAAGATAGTCGTGAACCCAGCGTCGTCTCAACTTTAAAAGCTTATGAAACACAGGAATATAAAAAAGAATATTTAAATATAATAATAAATGAATCAAATGACTATTCAAATCACAAAATGGAATAATCAGACTTCAATGACAATAATATCAGATATTACTTTTATTTAAATAATAGCACGTTTCAGCTGGACATCAACAGTCTTTTAATTTATATGAAGCTAAAAGGAAGTAATATATTTAAGTAAAGTAAAATCTAAGTTTTATTATTAAAGTCTAATTACTGCGGTTAGCAATGTGGAACAACTTTCAGTAATAAATAGATATTAATGCATGGGTTATACAAGTTAAAACGCATTCTTTGCTTACACATCATTTAGTCAAATACCTTACCATTTTTGTATAAAATAATATAATAAAAATATGTAAATCACCCTTTTATTGATGACTTATACGCCACTGGTTTATATTGGCTAATGTAATGGTGATTGAAAACATGTGGTTATGGTTCAACTGTTGTCAAAAGTTTGACTTTACTCCTTTACTGTGTTATTGATTGTTTTAGAACATAAATTATAACACAAAAAGTACTTATATTTAATGTTATGGTTCTAACAAAAGAATATCGAATATGTATGCCAATTAGCACAGAAGAAGTACGTACATAGAGGTACCTATATCAAATATGAAGGAAATTAAAGGTGAATTGTATTTTAGTATAAAATTGGACAATTGTACATGATTGCTCGACATAGTTTAGAACAATCAGGTGATGGTGAAGGTGTAGAAGTTGTAGAAAACAAAGAATGTGAAGACCCAGTTCATGGAAGGGGACAATACACAGAAAAAAGGATTCATCTTTCTAGGTTAGTTTTGCTAATACTATTGATTATTTCCTTGCTAATATTTTTTATTTTTAGTCGATTACCCTATTGGTTACAGTCTCTTGTACCAAAGATATTTTATATAACTGAAAAGGCATGGAATTATTATCCTTACACTGAGACAGAATATACGGTTTGTACTGTATTTTCCAATTTTATTTTGCCATTTCAAATGGACATTTTTTAGTGTTCCTTTGTACCAAGGTTCAATATATTTATTAAAACAAAGTATGAAGATAATAGTGGAACTTCAGATAATGTAACTTGTTTAAACCACAAGGTAATTTTCTTTTTAATTTAACTTTTACTTGTAGTGTTTGGGACTAACACCTGAAGAACTAGCTGAGAGAATTGTAGACAATATAGATATTGCTTATGACGAAGTCAGTCCAAGACACTATAAGGAAGAAGAGGACCTAAGATTTTTCCAATCAAAGAAGACTAGCAGGGGTCCTTTGGTAGAGGGCTGGAAAAATAATGTGCAACCCATTATGTGTTCGTATAAGTTAGTGAATGCCTCATTTGAAGTTTGGGGTTTTCAGACGCGAGTAGAAGAATTTATTCATTCAGTAAGTTGCTTAAAAATTATCCATTTTTAAAAATGCTATCGCAAGTATTCTACATTGATTACATAATAATATTTTTAGTGTATACGAGAAATTCTACTTCTTGGTCACAGGCAAGCCTTTGCCTGGATAGATGAGTGGATTAGTATGTCATATGAGGACGTGAGGACTTATGAAGCTAAGTTACAACATCAGACAAATACATTGGTTAAAGAAAAACAATCAAATGATGTTAGTAATGATAATGTAGTAGAGAATAATTCTCCACAATTATTACCAAACATAATGGGATGCACTTCAAGCAGTATGGAAGTCAGTGGAGACCAGGTAAAGTCACCGACGAAAAAGGGGTATTTTTCATGGTTTTCATAAAATTAAAGTTAAATAATGAATATCAGTTTTTTTTAGTTGTTATCATGACACCTGAATTTTATTTATTTATTTCCTTCTTGTTAAAACTTGTTGAATGTAGGGTTTATCCATATTTGTTGCTTCTATGTAAAGCAGTACCTTTTTCAAATAAATGTATATAAGAGAACAAAAACTTTTTTATGGATTTGCTGTTTTGTTATTCTATTTAACGCGGTAAGTAAGTCTGTATGATTTTTAATTAGTTTATTTGTGTGTATGATTAATTAATAATGTTATTTCAATTAAATTTAAATTCTTAAATGCAAGTTTTGCTAACTTTATTCAGTAGTTGGTGCGCAGTTTTCACTAAAAAGGTAAGTGAGTCTAGCAAATTTTTTTTTATTAATCGTTAAGTGTTTTAGAAGTTCATTTTAATTAAATAGCATCTTTAGGCTATAATATCTTTAATTGACGTCGTTTCTAATGTTCGTGTTTATGATTAGTGGGTATTTAATTCTTTTCGTACGTAATTTTTTAATTAAAGTCGTAGTTAAGCTTTTTAAACTTTTAAATAATTTATTACTTCAGTCATTTAATTGTCTTAAATAGTATTTTGATTAAATTTCAGCTTTAATACGCAAATTTTCCTAATTTTATTAATTTCTCATAATCCTGTTTGGTATGTTTTCCTTTCATACTAAATTTCTTCAGTTAAAATGGTTATTGAACTCATGTAGTTTTTAAAATCTATAGTTTATTAATTGTTTAACGTTTTTGGTATATAATTTTCATTACGTTTCAACCCTTATTTGTTTATTTTTCTAATTTGGTATAAATTTAGCTACGATTACTGATTAGTGTGCTGTAATTGGCGTGCATTACACTCCTGTACATCTGGTTGCATAACATGTTTTCCACAATATACTTTTATTCATTTTCAAATAATTTCCCGCTTCACCGTTGTGTTTAATTTTGTATGAGCTTCAAAACTTCGAGATATCTCTCGATCTCCTTGTTTTATTTGTCGTTGATTAATAAATTCCTATTGTCTTTGTTTTTTATTGGTTTGTTCTTTTTAATCACAATTGATGTTTTGAATTAATTATTTATTGAAGGTAATTGTGCTCTGTGGGTTTAATTTTATGAGATATTTTAATAGCAGAAATTAGTCAGGTTGAAATAGAAATGATAATATGATTACTAATCAAAAATAATTAATGAGAGAACAGAATTAATCAGAATTCGCTTATTTACGCCGAAACATAAATTACACTGCGGCCTCTTTATTTTGTCAAAATAATACATTTTAATTGTAGTTCAATTTATACAAAAAATATTAATGTATATATAAGAAAAGCGCTGAAAAATCTATGTACATAATTTGTCTGAGAAATTAGTGTGAGTTAAATATTTCCAGCGAAAATTAAACATTTTACTATTCTCTACATGTTGCGCAACATTCTACACGGTTTAAATTCATAAAAGCTCATGTCTGCTATTCTGTTTCGTTAAAAATAGAAGTAAAAGCTTTATCTCTAAGATAATAATGACGCAGCGGCTCGGAATGTCAAGAAAAGTCACTAGAAATGTTACCATCAAGGCACCTTTGCTTTTGCGACGATTCTTGCAATAAAATGTAGCGTGTTGTTCGTAAATTACACGGTGAATTACTAAATTGAGTGACTAATTGTGATGTGATGCTAATGATATTTATTAATATTTGAGGGTGAGTTAATTATTCTTCAATCAAAATATTGCGATTGCATGCTTTAATAGTAGATTTGCATTTGTTAACAAAGGTAATGTTTGTTCAAAAAACATCCGCTTACTTTGTTCAGATTTTATGGAAACAGTTGCAGGTTATGGAGATCGAGATGTATTACTACAGCAGTGGGTTACTTATTTATTTGCATAATTTACATTTTAACTTCAAATAAAAGCGAAGTGGTGTTAATAATTAGGTAATCATTACAATTAGAAATAAGTTTGCTACCCGGTTTATGGTTTAATTAATAAGATGTCGTAATTAAGCATGTTATTGATTATAGATTATTATTATTGATTAAAAGGTCTTCGATCTGCAAATCAAATATGTATACAGGTAGTGCGTAATCTAACAAATAATTGTTTATAATTTTGGTAGCAAATTTATTGATTTGAGATAAAATCTTCATGGAATTTCTTTAATAATATAATATATAGATAAAAACAATATACACATTTTAATGTTATTTAAAAGTGATTTGAACAAATTACTGTTTTATAAGTATCATAAAGGATTATTTTATTCTTGACCATTTAGTTAATTCATTACAGTTTTATAAATAATCTTATTTTTCTAGAAAAGTGATGTTACAATAATGGAATTAAACATTTACTTCTGTGCTTTAATAATTATGTATTTTTGCTTCAATTGTTTTAATGAAAGCTAAACAAAATTAAATCAAAATGAGAACTCATCATTGTTTTAGAACTAATTGATAAGAAACACGTAGAATATATTTTCAACGCTTTTATTGAAGAAACCAAATATATATTACATTTAATAATACTTTTTTAGCAATAGTTGTAATTTAATTCAATG